TTATATTTGGGGGGGGGGGCTTAAAGTCGGAGGTTTACGGTATAGGGAAAGGTTTATCTATGTTATTTCTGTACTAGATATCTTTGTTCGTCTAAGAGATTGCTAAATACGTTGTAAAATAATCAAATGATGTCGAAACGGTTAAATTAGAAGCATTTAAAAAATCACGTGACCCGTGTTTCAGCCTATATTAATTATGCTATTACCTCATACGCGCCCGCATTACTTACCTGTGAGGTTTCTGTGATACTTCATATAGATACTTTTTTTGCCCTTTCTCTATTCGATGTTGTTGCGAAGAATATATGCAAATCTTTTAAAGTAAGTTTATTATATTGATTAATTTATACTTGTTACTGACAGTAGTTGAGCCATAGATATAGGAGATCTAGATTGCTAACGCATACCTAGCGCAGGCGGGGCCTACATGATAAATCCAAGATGGCGGTACAAGAGGACAAAAAGACTATAGATTCTATTACGAAAATCAATATTTTTGCATTTTTTGCCGTCGCATTGTTTTGAAACTTATTCGGTCAAATTTTATGGTAAAGAGAAACGTACCGCGAAGATTCTGAGCATATATATGATTGAATTGGATGAAAACTCGCAAAATTATTCAGCGATAAAAGTTCGAGTGAAATGGTCAGTTGGTCAGTTGGAGCGTTTTATTGCCAGAAATACTGTGCTATGTTAACATCTAGTCTTATGAATGGTGTTTTATACTTGCATCTTTCGTCATCATCTGCTCTGTCCTCATAATTATGAAAAATGAACTGTTATGTACCCCCCCCCCTCCCTAGGCCTCCTTGCTTGTTAGAGAAGTAAACTGATGAGAGCACTGGATAAGGGTCTATCATCTATGGTCTGTTATAATTTGCTTTCTATGCAAATAGTGAGCAAAAATTAAAGCAAAACTGTACAAGTTACATATATAGTACTATATCAGTACTATACACGAACTTTTATTGCTGGATAATTTTGCGAGTTGTCATCCAATTCAATCATAAATATGCTCAAAATCTTCGCGGTAAGTTTCTCTTTACCATAAAATTTGACCGAATAAGTTTCAAAACAATGCGACGGCAAAAAATGCAAAAATATTGATTTTCGTAATAGAATCTATAGTCTTTTTGCCCTCTTGTACCGCCATCTTGGATTTATCATGTAGGCCCCGCCTGCGCTAGGTACGCGTTAGCAATCTAGATCTCCTATATCTATGAGTTGAGCCCCCTGTGCTTTGGTTTTTTCCTTGTGGAAAAGGTGAGGCCCCTTGTGCTTTGAATTTTTCTCAAAACTTAGAGTTATTTAGATCTTTGATCATATCAGTGACATTTGACATAGGATTGTAGTTCTTGGAGTTCTTAGTATAAGGATCCCAGGCTATTGATGCATATTCTAGCTTGGGTCGTACAATGGATTTGTATGCTGCTTCTCCCACTTTCTTGGGGGAAATTCCACAGAATACGTCGCATCACACCCAGAACTTTTGTTGCTCTACTTGCCACCGATGAGACATGGTGATTCCATAATCCATTTTAATTTACTAGTGAAAGTAAAGGCCGTTTCCACTTCAAGCGTACCGTACCGTAACGTACCAAAACAAATTTTAAATTTCAAAATTTAGTGAATGTTGATTGGTTAATACTTCCGTAGTACGCTAAAAAGTTGACTGGCAAGGAACTTTTTATTTTGATACGCGAATCAACCAACACCGCGGAAAAACGTCTGTCCAGTGTCAACATTACTCAAATCTGCATGTATTGCGAACGTGATGTCAAGTGTTCCGAATGTTGTCAATAACTCAAAATGGAAACGACTTCGATGTTTTGCCTTTTCTATGAAAATGCAAGCGGAATAATGAACGTGACAACCTAAAAACTAGAAATAATTATAGTCTACATGTGCAAGAAGTAGTATTATGCAAGAAAATAAACCAAAGGCGACTGTCGATAAATTTATTGTAGAAAACGTTCTTTAAACTGAACCATACAAATATATTTTTCGTGGGTTCATATGATGCACATTTTTGTCAATAACTTTTTTTACGTAGCATGTATAAATTTTGCGTTGACTATATTTAAGGATAATAATTTACTCTACAATTTAATCGTGTGCAAATGCTTAACTTTTCTATAGTTTTCTTAACGGCCTTAATGCCCAAGTAAGATATATCTTCCACTTGATCTAGCTCTACTCCACAAAACAAATACCTCTTTTGGGGAGGATGTCTTTTATTGGAAATGCATAAAATTTTGCATTTTGAAGGGTTGAATTCTATCTGCCACAGATTTGCCACTGTTCTATCTTATGTATATCATCCTGTAGGCGGTCACAATCTGAATCACTCGTAATGACACCATATAATAATTAGTCATCATCAGCAAAAAGTTTCACAGTTGACTACTTGACTGTAAGTTGTCCGGCAAGTCATTAATGTACAGTAAAAATAGGAGCGGGCCAAGCACTGTCCCTTGGGGAACTCCTGACGTAACAAGTAGGGGGCTAGATGCTTTGCCTTCACAGACAACAGACTGATAACGTTGTGAAAGAAAGGACTCGAACCAATCAAGTAGCTCTCCACAAATTCCATAATAATACAGTTTCCTCAAAAGACGTTGATGGGGTACCTTGTCAAAAGCTTTCGAAAAGTCCAAGACTCACCACGTTGAATTGTATTCGCCAGATCATGTATGGTTACAATAAGTTGGGGTTTCGGTTGATCTTTTTGCCCTAAATCCATGTTGACAGTCCGTTAGCGATTTGTTTTGTTGCAAATGTTTCATAACATGACTGTGGATTATATGTTCCAATATCTTAGAGGCAATACAAGTCGGTGAAATAGGTCTATAATTAGCCGGCTCTGATTTTTTCCCTTTTTTGAAGATCCCACATATATTTGCATTTTTCCACTTGGAAGGCACAATTCCTGTGTCTATGCACTATGGAGCATTGATAAATATCAGTTAACATGGTCTTGGGCATATTCTTTTAGGAACCAGGATGGGATAGAGTCAGGTGCACAAGCTTTGTTTGTTTTCAATGACAGTAACTGCTTAGTGACACCAGAAATGGAAATATTGATAGGTCTTATTGCTGGTTTTGGATTATCACCTACTGTTGGAATATTTGCAAGATTTTCGTCAGTGAAAACAGAAGAAAACTGCTTATTAAGGATTTCAGACTTAGTTTGTCATCACTAATTAATATTCCATCAATTTCCAAATCTGCTACTCCCAGGTTATCCTGCTTTAGTTGCTTCACATAAGACCAAAAACGCTTTGGGTTTTCTTCAATCGCATCGCCAAGATACTCCGACATATAGATATCTCTGGCAGTTTTCAAGTCATGGTGTAACCTTCTCCTAGCAGCACGAAACTGGTGCCAATATGTTGGAGTTCCAGATGTTGCCCAAAGTACATTAGAGAAACTTTTACAGTCCGAACTATTAAAGAATGGAATACCCTTGATGTTCCATTGCGCAGTCATATACATATTTCTAGTTTTAAACGAGGTTTAAATTTTTTGAATTGAAATGGAGGGAGGTAGTCATCTTATGTGTGATGTGGGTGTCCATAATGCGACGTACACTACGGAAAGACCATGAAAAAAAAAACATGCAAAAGATGGTAGGCATTTCGGACAGTGATTGGCTGGAATGCAGCGAATTCTGATTTAGCATTTTAAACCTATGTTTGAAAGTTGAAATTTAATGAAGCATGCCTGTAGAAAGTTATGGAGCAACGCTACCTCCAAAGTCTAAAGGGCCAACTCCAAACCAAAATATACACTTGAGTAACTTAAGTAATTCAAAACTAACTGAGTTGAAATATGAATTACGGAGTTACTGGCTAACTCCAAAAATCATTTCAGTGGAGCTCTGGAGTTACTGGCTGACTCCAAAAATCATTTGAAAAATCATGACAAAACTAGGTATCAAAGCCTTCAGTTACTGTTATTCTAACTCCAAAAATCATTTGGAGCTTGTTATTTAAGCCTGGAGTTACTGACTAACTGCACTCTCAGAATGCTCTTCTATATTCTGTATTAATTAAATAAATAACACATGCACTTGTTAAGACTAAAATACCCAGAGTACGCGCATAAACATGACATTGGCACACATGGCATTTTGTTCTCGTTCAGAGGCTAAATTTTGATCTGCAGTTCCAGCAAATGCAGCGTAACCCATTCTCATACCCCATGACCCTTGTCATGCTCTGTTGACTGTGTGTAAGATGGGCTCTGGGTATGAGACTGTGCCATAGTCTAGCTCCATTTAAAGACCTCCACAAAAATAAAATCTACAGGTATGATTTGAAGTATTACTTTTGCAAGCTAGATCAGGGCCAAAAGTCCTCTGCAATATATTTGGTACAGTATTTGTAAAGATATTTTCACCTAATTTTAACTCATTGGATCAATTGAAGTTAACAACCCCCTGCCCCAATGGGGTTGTATACTTCAATAACAAATGTTCCCCATTGAAGTATACAACCCCTTATATTTAGCAATACATTCACAGATTCTTGTGCTTATTTTTACACTATTTAGACTATTTTAAGATTCGAAACAGTTTCGAGGGAATTTTAATGACCATCATTAGTCTGTAAACGGTGACATTTTTGATAAATGGAGATTTTATGACTTAATTATGCGTCTTTTGTCTTTGTCTCAATTTGCAGTGTATAAATTATTAAACACAACATAGCGATACACGCTTGAGGTGTGATGTTGACTGTCACTGTCAACCATTCGCTGGTTTTTGTCGATCCTGTGATGGGCCGTGTTCACACACAAAATTTATCGAGTCATACTGGAACTGTTGCAGTCCTTGAAACTCCCGAAATTTCAGGTTGCCGACCTAAAAGCGATAATTCTCAATCTAGGTCGGCAAATATTTTCAAACAAATAGAAAATATCCAAATGAAAATTTAATTTGCTTGCTGCAAATACGTGTATTTATAAACAGCAATTAATTGCAATCAATGCCAATATATAGCAATCAAAACAACAAACAAAATGTATGAACTCCAATCGAACAGTGCATGCATGTTGTGACCAAATGTTGTGACAGACCGTACACTACTTTATTACCATGCCTACTTTCGCTTAAATCTTGAAGCTCGACGATTTTAACACGTATGTTTACTTTTCAAAGTTTTTAACAATGAAACTGCAATGTGACTACTACGCAAGCTCGTTGAAAATGCGTATGTGAAAGATGCGTTCGCGGAAAACGTATTTGAAGAGACGTATTTGAAAGTAGGTCGGCAAAATTTTGCCGACCTAAATCTACATATATCGCTTTGCAGGTCGGCATTTAGGTCGGCGTTGCCAAATGCCTACCTGAGTTTCAAGGACTGCCGTTGTAAAGTTAAATTGAAGACCACGAGAGGCGTGAGACGAGATATGTTGCCCGGTATCTGGATAGGTTTATGAGGTGAAGACAAGTTCAATGCATCTTGGAAGACATCGCTATCAAGTACACGATCGATTGAAGACAAAGAAATAATAAAAACTGGTTCCTTTAGGAACCACCAAATACAAAAAAGAATCTAAACAAAAGTTGTATTATTGATAGTAATATTTTGGGGGAGTCACTTCAAGTACCCTTGAAGTATACAACCCCATAATTTGGGGCAGGGGGTTGTTAACTTCAATTGATCTAACTCATTTACCACTGTTGGTTTGATTTGTCTACCTAGTATATTGTTTATATACCTTTCCAATTTTCTCTGCTAAGGCAACTCCTATCTCCTTCTCATTACCATAAACAGCAGCACAGTCAATGTGTTTGTAGCCACAATCAATGGCTGTTTTTACAGCATTGCCAACGACACCTGGCTTGCTTTTCCATGTACCCAATCCAAGTACTGGAATCTTGTAACCTGACTGTAACATTAATTTGGCTGATTCCATCTCCCTAATTAATTTAAAAGCTTTGGTATTTTTGCTGCTTTGTGACAACTTGATGACTATTCTGTGAAGTTTATATGACTTCAGTCATATAAATAGGGTTAGGGTTAGGATAAACATGAACATTTATCAAGGATAAACACGAACATAAGGGGGTAACTAATCCAAACGATATTGAACAACCATGGATATAAAGGGTTATTCCAAAACTTCAACAAAGTCCGTCCCAGTCCGTAAGCGTGACACTCGGCCAAGATGGCGGACAAAAGTGAGGTAAGCGAAGTTGGTACTTGTGATAAAAAGCGTTCAGTAGACTTGTCTCGTGTGAAAAATAAGGTGAAAAGAAGTATGTTATATAAACAAGAGAAGCATAATAAGAATAAGGAAAAAAGAGACAGAAAGAAAAAGAGGAAAAGAGAAGAAGAGGAGCTTGGAGACGAGGTGTGTGGCAGTTGAAGTGTGGGTGGGTTTTCCCGGATAATTTTATGCTTTTGGATCATATAAATTCTCTGATTTAGCGTTTTCTATCTTGATATCTTGCGAAAATGGACCATTGATTTATTGAAATTAGCTATTGACAAAACTATCACTTTTGTTTCAACTAGTTTGGGCAGTTATTAACTTATTAAAATTGGTCACTATTACCATGCTACCATAGCAGCCCAAAAATGCGGTCCTACTAAATACTGCCCGGGAGTGCCCGGGACGCCCTGAAACGCCCGGGAGAACGCCCGGGGATATGCAAGATAGTGTAAATCAGTGCACGATCCTTTTTGGGTCTCTATGAGGCATTAATTAATGAAAAATAGCATTGAGAGTGATTTTTAAGCAGCCTAGCAACCGCGTCCCACACAGGACGTTGTGCAAAACATGAGATTATATTTAAATTTATTATAAATGTAAATATTTGATATATTATTAAGCAGTTGATATATGTTTAATATATTAAAACAAAACTAGTCTTAATTTTTTATTTAACTTTGTTTAATTTAATAACAGCAAATATTTACATTTATAATAAATATAATCTCATGTTTCACACAACTTCCTGCGTGGGCGACCGCGCTTTTACCGCTTGTTGCTAGGCTGGTTGAAAATCACTTTTAATATTATTTTTCATTAATATAATGCCTCATAGAGACTCAAAAAGGATTGTGCACTGATTTATATTATCTTGTCTATCCCTGGGCGTTCTCACATGCTTCCGGGCGCTTCATGGCGTCCCCGGGCACTCCCCGGGCACTCCCCGGGCAGTATTTAGTAGGACCCCAAAAATGGGCCATTCCATTTAATATAGACCCCCCTATTGAGGGGTCCCTTCATAATCCCCTTAGGATAAAAAAATTGGAATCCCCTTGGAATTTGTGAAAGTTACCCCAGAGGATATCTTACTAACCCCTTTACCAGGGTGCATTCGCCAATATTAACTATAGATACGCCAATATTAACTATAGATAGTATTGTAATTTGCCAAACTCACACCGGAGATCTTCGGCACATTGCACTTAAAATACACCCTGGCCCCTTTAGGATATCACTTTTTCCCTCTTGGATATCACAAAAAGTCTAAAACACCTAATTTTTGCCATTTTTTGAACATCTCTCAAGATATGAATGTAAAATTATATGAATCTTTGAAGTCTGGATTGACCCCTTGCTTTGTTTACATTTGGCAATGAAGTGGTTTCATCTGCTAACAGAGTAACCGACAAGTCTAGAATTTTAAAGTATATACTCAAGAACTGAACAAGTTTTTCAAAATGACTAGTTTGTTCTATTTGGTCCCTGTTTACACTAGAGCGAAAGTTTTCGGATTCATCACGAAACCGGGACGTTTTAGTACTGGATTCATATTGCCGTTTACACATGCAGCGACAAATCGGTGAAATCCAATAGTAAATCGTCTTGGTTTCATGCATGCAGTATCTGGAAACTTTGAATCCAGCCAGGTTTGTGGGAACTTTGTATCCAGAAACACTTGAATCCGAAAAAAAACTCTTGTGTAAATGGCTTTCCATAAAGAATCTGTATCAATTCATTCCGGTGTATGTTTTTCAAATTTATTGCTGTTAAATTATTATTGCCATTAACAATGGGAATCCCGTCCCGTCCTGCGAATATTAAAATCCGGATTTAAAATGTAACATTAAGAAATATGACAGTTCACACCCAATTTCCGAACTTGGAATCGTAATTGGCAAGTTCGCAACGAACTTGGGGACCGTGCATTGAAAAGTGACTTGAAATCGACAATAACCAAGGTCTTCAGTAGCTACATATATTAAACCAAAGTGGTTTCTGAATATGTATACTTACCTGCAGAAAGATATAAAATGTAGGCTAGAAAATCTTTCACGCTTCAACATAACAAAAACTTTAGATTTTCGTTTAATTTCTCCGCTACCTTCGACCATAACAACATCTTTTTTCACTATTTGTGAAACGCTATGCAACCGCATACTTTGACACTTTAGACTCTTTAGTCAGTTTACGAAGCATTTTGAGATTTTTTTCTTTCAATGTGAACACACTAAGACAGAGCAGTGAAGTGTTTGAACAGAATAAACTGAATGAAAAGCTCCTTGTATCGGCTTTTATTAGCGCGTTCGGAATTATTTTGGGGTCGATGACTCACGTTGTTTGTCAAAAAACAGAACATCAGAATTGGTTTTCACCATTGTCTATTGAGAAGACACGCGCATACCAAAGACAGTGGGCGTTTTGTCTTGATCGGTTATTGTCTTCTGAAATTAATTGCGCTGTCATATCTCTATAACTATAGATATAAGTATATAATATCTTGAATCCAATTGCTAGATCTCTGACTGAGTCACAATTTCAGTTATATATGTTTTTCGGTGTGTTATATCATAGTTATGCCAGTTGTATAGTCTATGTCCGCTTGTGTAAATTGCGGTGCGAGTTGAGCAATACGCCTTTGCTTTGTATTTACGGGTGAATTGCTCTAAAAATTCTCGTAGATCTGTGAAAACTCCTAAGTCCCAAAAGGCAAAAAAGTCTCTAAACATCCAAATAACGGAAAGTCCATTTCAAATCTCCAAAAATCCCGAAAAAATTATATAAAAACGGTTTCAGCTTTTGAACATTTTTCATTAAAGATGTGGAGCATACTTTCGAAACAAATCTTGTACTGTAAGTGTAAATGTCTTTAGCCGCCTTATTTCGGCTTTCCCGTTCCACGCAACGAAATCCCATCCCGCGAGATGCGATTCCCGTCCCACATGACGGGATTTACGTCCCGCGGGACGGTACTGTACATGTGTTGATCAAGCTAAGACTATGCTGTTATAACATGGTGGCAACGTAACTACAAGAATAACAGTATGGAGCACGAACCTGAACAAGCCGTCGGACAGCCTGCAGTATATTTGAGTCACAATATTTCTCCTGGAGCCACAACCTTTAGACCTAAGAAATATAGCTGCGAAGCGGCCGAGAAGTTTAAGTTGTGGAAAGAAAAATACAACAATTACTTCATAATCTCGCGCCTAGAGAATGAGAATCCTGCGTTGGCAATGTTCAAGCACTCAGTTGGAGATGAAGGCTTAAAAGTTATCAAAACATTTGGATGCAACGAACACGAGAATTCAAGCGACTGGAAAGTGGTAATGGCAAAAGTCGAAGCCCATTGTATTGGAGAAGTTAACGAGACATTCGTGCGATATGTGTTTAACAACTGAAACAAACTACAAGGCGAATCAATCGATAGCTACATTGCTGAGCTAAAGACATTGGCGAAGACATGTAATTTTTGCAACTGTTTACGAGATAACCTCATACGGGATCGTGTTGTTCTCGGGTTTAAAAATGAACAAACAACGAAAAAGCTGCTTAGAACTTCATCAGCACTTTGTTTTGAAAGAAAACGGAAGTGGTAGACAAGCATGCTGGAGTTTTTAACGACGATTTGGGAAGATTGCCATGAATAGACCCAAATCACAAACCAGTCGTACTACCAGCACAGAAAATCCCCGTGTCAGTGAGAGACCGATTTAAAGTCGAGCTACAACGATTAGAGAGACTGGGAGTCATCACACCTGTTGAAGAACCGACCGAGTGGGTGAGTCAAATTGTCGTTGCTACGAAGAAGTCTGGTGCATTGCGCGTATACATAGATCCAAAGCCACTGAACGAAGCCCTGAAGAGAGAGCGGTATCAAATTCCTGTCATAGATGATTTACTACCTGATTTGTCAGAGGCTCGTGTATTTTCCAAGGTTGACCTGGCATCCGTATTTTGGCATCTATAATTAGACGAAGCGAGCTGACAACGTTTTCTACCCCCTACGGAAGATTCCGGTGGTTGCGCTTGTCCTTTGGTTTAAACGTGTCCAGTGAGGTATTCCAGAAACGTCTCAACCAAGAGCTCCCGGGACTGGAAGGAGCGAAGTGTATCGCAGATGATATCCTTGTTTACGGTACCAGTGAGAAAGATGATGACCAAAACTTCGAGAGGCCACTGGAACGGTGTAAAGAAAAGAGTGCATTAAGTTGACCAAGGATCTGGTAAAGTGTAAAGAGGTCTCATTCCATGGTCCTATGGAGATGCCACGACCCACCACTCCTGAAGAAATCTTACGTTTGAACGGAATGGTGAATTACCTAAGTCGTTTCCTACCCAACCTGTCGGAGGTTATGAAGCCCGTGCGTGATCTAACACAAAGAGTCGGCGTGGTGCTGGTTGGAAATACACGAGAAACATGGAATGAAGTGAAGCATCTAGTACTACCAGCCATCAGAAAGTCTTGAGATCCAATGCGACAGCAGTCAGACCGGTGTGAGAGTGACCCTAATGCAGAATGGTCATCCGATTGCATATGCCAGTCGAACACGATCTGAGACAGAATCACGATTCACGATATGCACAGATAGAGAAGGAAATGTTGACCATCGTTTATGCGGTAGAGAAATTTAACGACTACACGTTTAGCAGAAAACTACAGTGATCATCGTCACCGTCTACAGTGATCATAAACCTCTGGAAAGTAGTTTGAAGAAACCCCTTCATCGATCGCCCAAGAGACTGCAGGGTTGATGATCCGTCTTCAGAAGTATGACATCGAATTGAAGTATGAGAAAGGAAGCAATATGTTCCTTGCCGATAAGTTGTCGAGAGCGAGCATCCCCGGTGATGAGAAAAGTGGTCCAGAGTTCGAGACCATCAATATGATGAAGTACCTGCCAATTTCCGACGAACGGTTAAAGGAAATACAACGAGAAACAAAAAGCGACGAGTCCCTCCAAGTCTTGACGACGGTGATTCGGCAAGGTTGGCGGCACCCTACTTCAACATCCGAGACGAGTCGAGGTCTAGATAGTGTTTAGAGGAGAAAGAGTAGTTATCTCGCAAGCAATGAGAACTCCACCTGGGAGTAAATGGTTGCCTCAATCGAGCTCGAGAGTGCCTTTACTGGCCCAGTATGTCCAACGATATCAAGAACCATGTGTCAACCTGCGAAGCCTGTCGTGAGTATGAGAAAAGTCTGCCAAATCGACCCTGACAACGTGTAGGAATAGATTTATTTGAGCTAGAGGGAAAACACTATCTAGTAACCGCTGACTAATTTAGTGATTTCTTTGAGCTGGATCACTTGAAGAATATCTCCTCAGTACACGTCATCAGGAAAATCAAGAGTCATTTCGCGAGACACGGCATTCCCGCAGTTCGTGGCACACGATTTCCAGATATTTACTAAGGAATGGGACTTCGAGCACGTCATCTGTAGTCCATAAAGCTACTGTGCTATCTGACCAGCAGCGCTTCTCGTGTGCAATATGACAAAGAGCTCTGCTTGTATTGTTGACCAAATTGGTTACCATCTGGCATGCAACAAGTTCTAACCTTGATATGGTCAGTCCTTTCTTCGCAAGTCTTGCTTTCGCAGCAAGTAACTCGAGCAACACCAGACGGTTGTCTTGCAACTGTGTACACCGCTGCACACAGTCCCTCACCACTCGCATCTCCAAACCCATGAATCTCCAATTTCTCCACCGGCTCTTGGAAGGGTGCAATTGGTCTTGGTACAGCCACTTCACTCAGGCAGGTTATCTTCCCATTTTTCCCATCGCTTCTTAATCGCTCCTTTCAACTCTACATACCATGGTAGATTGTGGTCACAAAGTTCTCGATAGACTTGTTTTCCTTGCAATAACAGAGGTGAGGAAATTCCTATTGGAACGCTAAACCACTAAGGATGCTGCGCTTTGTAGGACTTTCGCTGTTGGATCCCAGTTGCACACTTTTAGTGTATCGTTCTCTTTTTCCCATTTTACACCCAGGATTTTCGTTTTGCTGCTGTTTGTTCCTCGCCATCTTCTTTGTTGTCACTTTCTCCGTCCAGTTCGTTCGCATTGGACGCCCATTTAATGAGGTTATGCAATAACAAAGGTTAACAGCTAGGGAACCAAGCCTCGTTACGTCGGCACATCATGTGACCAAAAGGGGGCCGGGCGAGTATGTAATAAGAGGTTGGCCGCGCATTGGTGGTATTAGTAATCATTGTGCGTTGGAAGCGTAGTAAACGTATTAGGAACAAAGATTTTTTTTCTCTCCTGTTCTTTTATATTTCCACCAATTGTTAATTGGTGTGAAGGTGTTGGCCCTGCGGGGGTGGTCTGCTCAAGATACCACTGGCATGGATCTTAACCCGAGTCCAAGTAACAGTAAGGCCAGTACTCGTCCCATGCCACCCCTCGGTTACCCGGGCTAACACCTCACCATCCAAACGGGTAAGTATGGTGAACGAAGGTGTTGATGAAGTGAAAAGGTTGCATCGCTCAGTATATCAGTAGCTTCAGACATACGCTGCTTTGCTACACCAACAGTGTTACCCCCGAAATAATGTCATCGACATGCAGACTTTTCGTTAGTGTGTCCACTGCTTCTGGAGCTTTGCTCTTCCCGTAATCTAAGCGCGCTTCCAAAACTCCGCCAAGCAGGAATGGTGATGATACCAAACCGAACAATACTCTGGTGAACTGCAATACCTCAGTAGTAATATAGGTACCGATCGGGCCGGATTTTTGTGGTGGAGTGTGGTGGAGTGTGGTGGAGTGAGGAGGAATAATGACGTCACTCATTAACATACGTCATAATTATATGCAATGACGTCACGCGGGCCTGTTCGGGCGAAATTGAACAAAACTTGCTGACTACGCATTTTTAGCGTTCTCCCCACGTGTGTGATACAATAATTAGGGCTATATACAAGATAATATGTTGTTCTTTGGAGTTTTATAAGCACAGCTATAGCATTTTGCTGTTATTGTCAAGTGATTTCTTTAATTTAGCTCCTAGAGGAGTAAAAAATCTGATACTATATAAAATAGCATTAGTGTTATATATCCAAAACTTATATATTCGGGGTATACAGCTATATGTTTTGTTGTTAAGTAATATATAAATCTTATCAAGCGTCAAAACGCTGAGAAATAGAATGCGGTAAGAGTTATCATGTATCTACAATTAAAATAATATTTAAATCCCGATCTGCCATATGAGGTCTATATACGAGAGAATATATAGAGTTATATAAACACATGGAAATTAGAGGTTATGATATATAATTGTCAAGCGATTTCTATATTTTATTGGTAGTTTTTTAAAGTACTAAAACTCGGATAAGATTAATAAATTTAAGCTATATTAAAGCACACCGGTTTCTATGTGTTGTTAGGGTGACACTAATTAAAGGATTAACTTTTATCAGAGATTTGCATTTTTCTACTGTGTGGATAAATACGGGTAGATTAGGATATTCATTGCGCGGGCGTCGCGGGTTATCCGTGCGGGAAGAGAGAAAGCGATTTAGACAAGACAGGAGCGCTTTGCAGCCAAAACTTGAAAGACTTTGTGTGGAATCCTGTAATGGTTGTCAAGTCGGTCATCCTAGTCATTAACTACGCTAACCCCTACAGCGAAGGCTGATTTCCAAGGGGGGCGTAGATTTAAATAGTTAAAAAATACAATTGATACAAATTATGGTCATACATTACATTACATTACAGTTAACAACAATTACAATACATTTACAAATACAACTAGTATATAATTATTTACAAATTAAATTAATGTTAGTACTGTTCAATATTTTAAATTAACGTAATTATTTTATTAATTAATTAATTAATTGGCCAGGTGTCGTATACATGAATTAAACGAAGCAAGAGTATGTTTGTTTCTTGCTTCATCAGAAAGGCTGTTCCACAATTTCGCTCCTCTATAACTAAGACTTTTTTTAAGATATTCAGTCTTAGGTTTGGGCAAAAAGAGTTTGGTGGAAGAGCCTCGCATATTATAGTAATAAGAGGAAGACGTCCTTTGAAAAATATTGGTTAGTCGTTTTGGCGCCAGTTCGTGAGTTATTTTATACATAAGACTTGCTACGAAATGTGTTCTGCGTTCACTTAAAGGTTTCCATTTCAGTTCGTCTAGAGCAAGCTCAGATTGACCGTGTTCGTTTTTACGGCCAGTAATAACTCTAGCTGCCCTATTTTGTAGTTTCTCGAGTCGATCAGAAAGTGTGGCACCAATGGTGTCCCAAACTTCGCAACAATAATCTAGGGGTGGAAGTATAAGTGCATTATAAGCACAAATTAATGTATTATGATCCACACAAGATTTTAGCTTTCTGATCGCCCCAATTCCGGATGAAATCTTCTTAGCAATTTTATCAATATGCTTATCCCACAATAGAAATTCGTCAATATGAACTCCAAGCGCTTTTGTTTCTTTGACCTTTTTAATTGGTGTATCACCAACAAATACATTTGGAGCAGCAAGTAAATTATTTATGTTGTACCGAGATCCTATTAGTAGATACTCAGTTTTGACTAGATTAAGAGATAATCTATTTGCAGTAAGCCATTGTTTAACGTTGGTAAGGTCATGATTTATGGCCACCTCTACATCTTGGATTGACTTGCCAGATACAGTTAGAGTCGTATCGTCGGCAAACATTCTTGTCGACGAGTACTCCAAACTGTTAGGCAGATCATTAATGTAGATCAAGAATAAGAGTGGGCCAAGAATTGAACCTTGAGGGATTCCACATGTAACCAACTTCGTGCCCGACAGAGCGCCATTAACGGAGCACATTTGGGTTCTATTCGCTAAATAGGATCCTAAAAGGTTTAATGATGGCTTCTGTAGGCCATAAAGATCAAGTTTCGTTAAGAGGATGTCATGATTTATGGTGTCGAACGCCTTTTGTAAGTCCAGAAAAACAGCTATATTAAACAAACCACGGTCCATATTAATAAACCATTCATTTGTACTATCTAAAAGAGCAGAGGCTGTAGAATGAAACTTCCTGAAACCAAATTGACGAGGGGACAACAACTCCTGTGTAACAAGATACTCATGGAGTTGTTCGTATAATACTTTTTCAAAAAGTTTACTTACTACAGGGAGGATAGAAATGGGGCGATAGTTGTTTAATAAGTTTCGTGGGCCGTTTTTAAATATGGGAGTGACTCTTGCTATTTTCCACTCAAAAGGAACAGTTGAACTTATAATGGCCATATTGAAAATTTTTGTCAATGAGTTTGTAATTACAGGAGCAGCAATGCGAATAATTTTAGCAGGGATTTTGTCAATTCCAGTAGATTTACGAGGATTTAGAGATAACAGAAGTCTGTATACGTTCGACTCAGACACTGTTTGAAAATTAAAGCTACTAGTTGTTGTCGTGATGTAATCCTTGAAATTTCTGTCACCATTGTCGATATTTTTGGCAATATCTGGACCAATATTGGTGAAATAATTATTAAAACACTCCGCTAACTCCGTTGGTTGTGAAATTTGTCCTCTCTGTGTTTCAAGACAATTTATTTCTCTACTTCCTTGTTTACGGTTTAGGATTTTATTCATATAAGATATCGAATGATATCCTAAGATATCGAATGATATCCTAAGATACTGTATGATATCCTAAGATATCGAATGATATCCTAAGATACTGTATGATATCCTAAGATATTGTATGATATCCTAAGATATTGATATCTCAGCTAAGATATTGATATCCTAAGATACTGATATCCTAAGATACTGATATCCTAAGAAAATGATATCCTAAGGAAATGATATCCTAAGATACTGATCAGCTCCTTAGGCTCGGAGCCAGCTCCTTGGGCTCAGAGCCAGCTCCTTAGGCTCGGAGCCACCTCCTTAGGCTCGGAGCCAGCTCCTTGGGCTCAGAGCCAGCTCCTTAAGCTCGGAGCCAGCTCTTTAGGCTCGGAGCCAGCTCTTTAGGCTCGGAGCCGGGCACCGTTCTTGGGGACCTGTTTGGCTTTATTGTTTATTCACCAGGTGGCGAAGAGATAAACACGGCAGTCGCCAATAGGCGTTCATAAAGTGGACTATATTTTTATCAAACATTCGTTCTCCAACAATTCCAATTTGTTTCCTATCACTAGGACCTTGGTGGCTCCTATCTCCTATACTCCTAGCCCTACATCGACCCTACATCGACCTCACATCGACCCTACATCCACCCTACATCGACCTCACATCGACCCTACATCGACCCCACATCGACCCTACATCGACCCTACATCGACCCCACATCGACCCCACATCGACCCTACATCGACCCTACATCGACCC